CGCCTAGGCGCCGCCTAGGCGGCCGCCTAGGCCGATTTTTAGAACAGTGCATAATACCAACACAAACCAATTCAGTCAATACATGCATTCAACAAAAATTCAGCAAAAGTGTCTCTGGCAAATCACACACAGGCACAAAAACATTCAAAAAAAATCCAAACAAGACAATTTCTACACTTAACAAACAAGTATGAATTATAATTTTATTCATAAATTATTATTGCAACACATCCAATCACTATAATAGAGAGGACCATCGAGCTCGTCGAACGTTGTCGGTTGGTATTCTATGAACGGCTAGTGAATTTTCAGCGAGAGGTTAGCAATAGCAGAACGCCGTCTAATCCTCGGCGGTTCGGATGTCGTGAAAATTTTGACGAGGAGGCGGTTGTGAAAGGTGGATGCACGAGATCGGGCCGCGAGCGGACATCCGATTGGCCTCTGCCCGGCCTGCATAGCCGCCCTTCTCGTTTTATCTGGCCTTCCCCTGACAACAATCAAACATCGAGTAGAAATCCATGTTGTTAACAACAATCCGGCAATTGAGCTCTCATGGAGAATAAGGAGAGGTGGTTCTTGGCATGTGGTGAACTACCCTTGGCCATTAACGAAACTATGGAGGTAAATATTGTTAGGATTTTTTTTTAATCTCTTTTTCAAAATGGTGGAAAGAAACAAGAACAACGAGATTGTGAGCAGCCTCTCTCTCTCTCTCTCTTTTTTTTTTTCTTTTTAGAAGATGTGTATGGTAAATAGAGATTTGCACGATCTCCGATATTTTTAGTCCACTACCATTATATACACTTTAAGAGATTAATTGTGGTGACTGTCTTTTTTTTTTTTTTTTTTTTGGTAAGTTAATTCTACCTATTATTACTTTTGACATTCGTACATATAAAAATAATATGAGTCTATTGTAATCTTACAAATAAGATTTAAAGTAACAGTAGAAGGAGTAAATTTCTCATGAAACCCGAGCAGTCAAATACATAAAACCTGGTAAAGATTCAAAGAGCAATTTATATAAAACACCAAACCCCAGTTTCAAGAACTCTAAAAAGATCTCTCCCAAAATAATAACAAACACCAGACTAAAACATAAAGATGGAGATTATAGTTCCACTATTTCATCATTATCATCCATTCTGGGAAATTAAATTTAAATCACATCTTACTTTCCATAAATATCACTTAAGATCTAATTATAGAGGTCATCTTCATCAGCCGTGCCACCGGTGGCAGCAAAAGGATCGGCTGCAGTCCCAGTGGCAGCAGCACCACCGCCGCTGCTAGTGTCGGCAAACCTAAACTCAGAACCGAAACCTCTCGACTGCTGCAAAGTCTGAGAAAAAGCTTGGTACTTCCGAATATCGGCATCACTTACACTCCTCCTAGCGTACTTCATCGACTCCTCAAAATGAGAAGCTGTAATCTCGGTCACCTCATCCTCGAGGTCCTCCTCCATGGCCTCGGGGTTCTCACTCCTTTTCTTTTCCCTCTCAATATCCTGGCAAAGGAAAAACGAAAAAGATTCAATTTTTTAAACTTATTAGATGCTGATCAGGTAAAACTATGAAAACTACTTACTTTTTCGATATTCTCTCTGATGGCGTATTTGCATGCCCGCTGGCAAATTTCTGTAATATCAGCACCGCTAAAACCCTGAGTGTACTTAGCAAGGGTCCTAAGGTCAATCTCTTTGGCGAGAGGCGATTTTCTCAGGCAGGCCTTGAAGATCTGATGGCGCGAGTCCTCGTCGGGCAGAGGGATGTAAATCAGCTGGTCGAGCCGGCCGGGCCGTAACAGAGCTGGATCAATAATATCGGGCCTGTTTGTGGCCCCAATAATGAAGACGGTCTTTTTAGCATTCATGCCATCCATCTCGGTTAAAAGTTGGTTCAGCACACGGTCGGCTGCACCACCTGCATCCCCCGAACTACTTCCCCTCTGCAAAACGTTCAACACAAATTAAAGGATTTATTTTTTATATATTTTATTTTATTTTATTTTTTGGGTAAGAGAACAAAAAATTGTACAAAATGTGTTTGTAAGTCGAACCTGAGTTGCGATGGAGTCCAGCTCGTCGAAAAACAGGACGCAGGGTGCGGATTGACGGGCCTTGTCAAAAATCTCCCTAACATTGGCCTCACTCTCGCCAAACCACATGGTTAGTAATTCGGGCCCCTTTACGCTGATAAAGTTTGCCTGACACTCATTGGCAATAGCCTTTGCTAGCAAGGTCTTTCCACAACCAGGAGGTCCGTAGAAAAGAACTCCTTTAGAAGGGGACATGCCAAATTTTTCAAATTTCTCGGGATGCTCCACTGGGTATTGAACAGTCTGCATCGGGAAGAAAATAAGTAAACATAGATATATATCAGTTCAAGTGAAAACTCATACCTTGAAAATATACACAATACACACACACAAACGAATAATAAGGTACCTCTTGGAGTTCTCGCTTGACATTCTCAAGGCCTCCAATATCTTCCCAGCTAACATTGGGGACTTCAACAACCTATGGACAATTGCATGAATCTCAGTCAAGAATGAAAGGAAAACCAGAGAGAGAAAGAGAGAGAGAGAGAGAGAGAGAGAGAGAGAGAGAGAGAGAGAGAGAGAGAGAGAGAGAGAGACTTACGGTTTCACGCAGGGCAGAGGGATTGCTCGTCCCAAGAGCAGTATGTAAGTGTTCATTCGTGACAGCCATGGAATTCAGTACCTCAGCATCAATAGTCTCATCTTCCAAATCAATCACATCCATCTTCTCCCTTATGCATTGAAGGGCAGCCTCAGTGCACAAAGCAGCTAGGTCAGCACCCACGTACCCATGTGTATCCTTGGAAATCCTTTCCAAATCAACCTGCAACAATCACACCAAGAAGTACATCAAATTAAGAACTTTTATTCCCTAGAGAGAATAGTTTAATGAGATTAATTCCGAAATAACAAGGCTGAAAGCAAAATGCAAAAAACTTACGTCCTCAGCAAGCTTCATATTCTTCGTGTGAATACGAAGAACCTCAAGACGCCCAACTTCATCAGGGACGCCAATGTCGATTTCCCTGTCAAACCTACCAAACCTCCTCAAGGCAGGGTCGATGCTATTGGGCCGGTTGGTGGCACCCATCACAATAATATGGGCCCGGGCCTTCAGCCCATCCATCAACGTCAGAAGCTGAGAAACAATCCTCCTCTCGACCTCCCCATTAGTTTTCTCTCTCTTGGGGGCAATCGAGTCAATCTCGTCAATAAATATGATGGAGGGTGCATTCTTCTCGGCCTCCTCAAACGCCTTCCTCAGGTTGCTTTCACTCTCGCCCGCCAGCTTGGACATGATCTCGGGCCCATTGATGCAGAAGAAGAAGGCACCAGTCTCGTTGGCCACAGCCCGGGCTATGAGAGTCTTCCCAGAGCCAGGAGGCCCATAAAGGAGAATCCCCTTGGGGGGCTTCACACCGATTGACTTGAAGAGCTGGGGATGCCTGAGGGGTAGCTCGACTAGCTCGCGAATCTGGGCCATCTGCTTACGAACACCACCCACATCATCATAGCCCACCTCATTCAGCCGCTCCTCGTCTTCCCTCCTGACAGGCTCACCCTCACAGAAGATCTCAGTGTCCGGGGCCACCACGCAATACTCGCCTGGGTCAGTCTCGATGACCTTGAACTCCACGTGCCTCATGCCTCCCCTCACGAGAAAGAGGTCGCCTTTTCTCACAGGCCGGTATGCCTCGAAGAAATATGCTGTTAGAAGAACAAAAGAACAAAGTTTTTAATCCACTGGCAAATTACCAATGTCAAAACAGAAACCATTCAGTGTTTTCAACAGTGTCTTCTCCGTGTTTGATAAAGAGAAATTATATCAAGGGAAAACACACATCATCAATATTCTCCCATAAAAGCTAGAAAACAAAGGGCTGCTTCAAATTAGTTTCCACACAATATCTTGAAAGGCATAAACAATTCCATGCAATTAATTTATCCGTAACCACTAACAGAAGAAAAACACAAATGTATTGTTTCTCAGCACCCATTAACATCACAAGAATACTGATATCCTGAAACGTTACAAAATATATATAGCAGTATTGTGGAAAGGTATGGAAATCCTCCTTAGAAACAATAACCAAAGCAAGCAAATAAGCAGCTAGAGAAAAATTCAAACTTATCTAGGAACTTACGTTTCAGGTACGCATCAAATAAGTTTCCAGTAACTCCTTCAACGGTGTCATCTATAGGAAGAATGTGAATTCGCTTCCCATACTTGACATCAGCACATTGATGCACGGAAACCACATCACCAAGTCTGACCCTGAGGTTGCTTCGGACAACCTTATTCATTCGCAGCTTGTTTTCCTCACAAGTTTCATCAGCAACGGCAATACATACTGTATCCTTTCTCTTCTTACCCTATAAACAACAGCAACCAAAATCAAACCCACTATAGGACAATTGCAAAACTACTCCACAGAATCAGGTCATTGAGCTCGGAAGATGCAACAATTGTTTTGGTACTGGCATAATCCAAATAACCATGTAGTACATTAACGCTTGATTATTATTTAAATCCATAATTACTACTTATTGGCATTTACTATTGCGAAGATCAAAATGTAACAAAAATAATCAACAGAATTGTGTCACTGACCACAAGGTAACAAAGGGCAAACATAATTATGACAATACAAAATATATTTTTTCTCTTTGAACCTATAACAATAACCCCAGAAATTGTTCCGGGATCACCTCATCCCAGATAAACATAAAAGTAATTTATAATGAAAGCAGAAAAAAAAAAAAAAACCGATTCATCAACATGGAATGCAAATCAGAAATTAAAAACAAAAAGGGAAATATACCAACCTTGATTAAAATGGTGTCCCCTCGAAACAACTGAAGCTTCTCCATAGTATCGGGGTGAAGAGACACCACAGAATTATCATCATTGGTGGCCTCCTCCACTACCAGACGATTTGGGGACTTTTTCCTCTCCAAAATCGCCGTGCTGAAGTCCCTCTTGGTGCCCTTACTGCACATTACAGAAGAAAACCCACTCAAAATCCAAAAAAGGAAAAAAAAAAATCGTAACTATCAAACAAAAAAAGACATTCAAGTTGGATGCTTGCGCAAGAACATCATCATCATCATTGATACAATCAGCTCTGTAAAGAATAAAACACTTACGGCTCGGAGGATTCTGCTTGAGTGCTCATGGCTGTGAGCGAGCGATCGAACGAGACGTCTCTGTGATTTAGGGTTTTCAGCGATTTTGTTGATGATAAAGTTGATTGAACGATGGAGACGAAGGATCTGGGATTTGGGGTGGGAAGTATCAATCAAATCAAATATATAAGAGAAGAGGACTCCTTTTCTTGTTAGGAAAGAAAAGGTAACTAAGGTGAAAAATAGTACTACTCCTATTCATTATAAATGTCGTTTTGACTTTTGTATTCATCCATTTTATTATTATGTATCTAGACATATTTCTATTTTATTATGTATCTAGACATTAATATATCTAGATACATAACAAAATGGATGAATCAAAAAAATCAAAACGACATTTATAATGAATAGGAGGGAGTAACTTTTACTATTGTTTATTATTTTGCAATTTTTGACTTTATAAAATATGTTTTAATGAGCCAGATAGACTAACACGGACTTTACCTTTTTGGCTTATCAATTTTATTTTTTACTAACTAATACTATTTACTATTTCTTGCACCAAAATATATATATATATATATATTTACTATTCCCAAGTGAGTTCACAAGTGAGTTCACGAGCTCTAGATCAGTTAATTTATCAAAATTAATAAGTCAAATTTGAATCTCAACGCTTCGAACTTAGCTATTTATTAGAACATATAAAAGTAAATTTATTTTATTTATTTATAATGTAACGTTTTCAATTAAAAACCTACTAGTACAATTCCCGTGTATTGCACAGGTGCTTGCTAATTTTTTTTTTAAATCTAAAATTAATGAGAAAAAATAATTGAAAATTTAAATACTTTTTATAAAAATATATATATTATTATATAGTTAGTATGACACTTTTTATTTGTGTGACTTATCTATGTTATATCATAATAATTTTTTAACTTACAACATATAACTACATTAATCATAAGAATTTGTCGATATGTCCGATTCAATCTTCTTGTTCCTAGATTTTATATAGGAATAAACTGTTACTCCCTTTCTCTACAGAGAAACCTTTCCTCCAAGTCACAAGATACGAGCCATTTCCACTATTTTTCTCCAGATCAAGATCAAATTGAGAAATAATTTTATTTTTCTACTGAATTTTAATAAATATAATTATTTTTTATTATTATAAATATAAATATAATTTACTTATCTCAATATACACAATATGTATGTCAAATCTAAGATCATCAAAAGAGGATTAATTTGATATATTATATATGTAAAACCGATAAGAAATACAAAAGTTATCAACTTTTAAAAGGCATTTACAATTCAATAGCTAATTGAAGGAAACAAATCAAAAGTCAGGGATATATTAGTCACTTAGTGCCTCACTAAGTAAAATTACAAGGAAGTAAATGGTTATATTTGTACAAATGATATTAAAATACTTAAGTTCGCTATTTGAAAACCATTCCTCTCTGCCCTTGTGCCAAGTTCCTTGGTGAAGAACCCAACCCAACGAACGAAGCGAAGCGAAGTGAAGGATAAAGTATCTAGCTAAATAGTATTTGGAATGTCCGAACCTAGATTATTAATTATTAATAAATCAATATTATTTGTCCAAACCTAATTATGAAGCATAATTCTTTGCCAAATAGATTTTCGAAAATTTCAAGATTTTTGGAAATAAATTCTTACAAGATAACTAAATTGAAACATACCTATCATTACTTTCTTGTTACAATAAAGACATTATAAATATATTTTTGTATTGAGCGTTATTGCAACTCTTTATATAAAGGTCTGGAGCCTGTTTGGAAGGGGCGTAGTAGTAATAGAAAAAAGCTAGGTCGAATCGACCTAGACGGATATGGCAAAGGATGATGAAGGTGGTCATGAAACGGATGGCGTTAGGAGGAAGCTGGTTCAAGGGAAGCCCGAACCACTCGCAAATTTGGAGAAGCTCAGGGATCGAGGGGAAGCGGAGACCGAGTTTGATTTGCATCTCGAAGATGGTGTAACAGTTGGAAGGAGGGTGGTCGTAGGTGTCAGAGGAAGAAGGGTCATAGAACGACCAACCGCAAGGATGACCGATCTTGCCAAGATCTAGCAAATTAGTGGAACGGGAGACAGAAGAGGGAGGCTTCTTCGAGGAGGTTTTAGCCGAAGATTTGGATGCGTTAGGCTTGGAGGAAGAAGAAGGAATGGTCGAAGATTCTAGGGGAGCAGTTTGAGAGGAAGAGGGTTTGCGGTAGCAGGCTTGGAGGTGGTGAATCAAGAAGAAAGGGGAACAGTATCAAGATTGTCCTCGTCCTCCTCTGGTACATCTTGTGAGCCAAAGGTCGGTCGACGACGGCGGAGAGGAATATTGTCCATGGAGTCCCCGGGTTAGAAGAGAGGGTAGCAGGAAAGATAATGGTAGGGATGGTATCACCAGTACGAAGAATAGAGAGAGGAACGTCATCGGGAACAAAAGGTAGTTTCAGGACTGAGTCGGGGGAGGTGGTCGAAGAAGAAAACGGAGGGCTCAAATCGGCACCAGAATGGTGGTTGTTTTCACTGGAAGTTGCATAATCTGAAAAATAAAATAAAACGAAAATGGAATCAAACAAGGGAACTTTCGCAAAGGGAGGAGGAGGAAAGGAAGAAACTTTCAAAAACTAGAGTTCTGCGAAAAGGCTATCTCGAGAAAATTGAAGAGGAAGAATAGGAATTTCGGTAAATTTTGAGGAGAAAACAAAATGCACAACGATTAACAAGCAAATCCAAGTACCTGGTGCATAAATTCAGAGCAAAACGCACAAACGCAGAACACTCAACAAGTAAATTCGAGATACCCAATGCGAAAAATTCAGAAACGCAAAAACTTTAAAGCACAGAAGGCACAAATTCAAACGAAGAACAACTTACTCATAGTCGAAGTCGAAGGAATTGGAAAAGCCTGGAGAATGCAAGGGAAATCGCCGAGAATAGAAAGCTAGGGTTCGTAGAGAGGTTTTAGGGCACAAGAGAATTCAGAGGAGCAAAGGTGGAAAAAGTCCGAAAATTTGCTAAGTGTTGGTTTTATACTTAGGAGGGTTGAGAGGTGTGTAAATAAGGGTCGTTGGATTAAAGTGGGATCCCATGGTTGACAACATTCAATTAGCATGGGACTCAAAATGGGAGCGTTATGCGAGGAGTTGCAATGATTAAAGCATCTGTCAGACGCGTCAGGCGCGACATGTGGCAGATGTGCGGGCGCAGCAGAAAGGACATGTGGCAAGCAGCTTTATTTCTGGCGGTTAAAGGAAAATCAACTGAAAAAATAGCAGGATACTCATCAGATGGTCGATATCCAACATAATATAACCCAGGAAAGAGGCGAGCACAAATTCACTCTTAGGTCGAGTCATTCAAACTCGACCAGAGTGGGGG